GCACCATAAAATATATAACAACTACATTACGAGTCATGTGATCTCATAACTGAAGTTTGAAAAGGATAGAATGTAGTCAAATTTTACCTACATTTTTAAGTCAAAGAGGTTATTTTCAATAAGTCTTCAGCTAATAAAATAAAAGAAAAAACTAAAAAAATAAAGTAAATTGTTGGACACATAAAATAAGTAAGGAACTAAGGTTTACAAGGCATAGGCAAAAATGAGAATGTGATTAGCACCTAGTACAATAAGGAATTAGAATTCATTATATCTCAACTAGTTTCATTTTAAGAAAAGTAATTACTTAACACAATATGTTAACCCTATATTTGTATCATCAAACAAAAGATCTTTTAGTTTTTTTAGCATAAGAACTACCATTAATTTCTTTCGATGTACATCTCATCTAAAACAAAATACCAGAAAACATGCATAAGTTGTCAGCTCATATCTATCTCAGCCCCTTGATCGAACAAACGTGGTCGTCCCTCAGCCTCCCGCGCCCATATTCCTAAACAAAGTTGTTCTTCTAATAAAAGCTTATTGTAGTTTCTCAAATGGTCAACTAATTTAAAAGAATTACGAATCATGTATATATATAACATTACCACAAATAACATTGAAATTAATCATTCCTATCAAATTGTATACCTAACTTTTCATTCAAAAAGGGATTAAAAAAAAACTACACATACAACAATTGATCTAATGTTTGCAACATTGATGAGCATATATGCATATGCAAATCCATATGTATGTCTACATTGATAAATTATGAAAAAATAATAGTAATAGTTAAGGTATGTTCAGACGAATAGTTGATGATCTTTTAGATAGGAAAAGTAACATTAAATATTTTAAGCGTATTTTTTTTTATCATTAACTCTAGTTAAAATTATACACCAACATATATAGATTACCTTTTGAAAAAGGATTCTCATATTTACAAGCCTTACCTATTTTCGTTATGTTTAACAAATATTCAAGTATTAGAAAATAAACATATGAAAAAAAGTAAATAGACAAATTTATTTCTTGAAGCATAAATTGATTTTCTTTTCTTCTAGCTAGAAGTTTCGTGATTTAAAGTTATTGTAGTGCTTCCTAAACCTGAAATCACAATGATATAATGATGTCAATCTATATATTTGTAATTTGCTATTTACATAGTTTACATGAAACACATCAATTTAATGAAAAAATTCTTTCCAAATAATCAACTATCCTTTTTTTTTTTATTTCTTTCATACTAACTTGAAGGAAAGACAAAAAAATAAACAGACAACTATTTTAAAAAAAAGGAAAAGTTCAATTAGAATATTAAAAATAAAACTTTTATGTGCTCTGGGATTTCAACACAACATACAATGACATCAATCTGTATATTGCTCATTTAGATATATTTGTAATGTACATTTAACGCACCAGTATAATGAAAAAAATAGTTCAAGTGATTACTAGTGATTCTTTCCTTTTCCCTCGTTAACACTTGAAGGAAAGACAAAAAAAAAAGTATGCAAAACCAATAAAAAGACATACAATCACATGCTTTTTTCAAAGAATATTAAAAATGACTTTAACCAAAATCTATTCAACTCTATAAAAGATGTCTTGATTTCCCAGAGGATCTATGGAAAACACAAAAGGAAATATATACATTGAATTTATTGACAAACACGACTTGTGAAGTTCAAATAGAGACCATCAGAAGTTGCAAGAACCGTAGTTTATAAATTAGAAAACATAATTTTAGTTAGCACTTTCATGTACACTGAAATAACTATCAAGAGGTTAATACTAAATTAAAACATTCAGCTGAAACAAACAAACTATAGCCCCTGCTTCACATCAAAACGTGTAACCCTCCTCTTTTGGGAGCTCATGAATTGCGAAATAGTGACTTTCATTATATACATAATACTCAAGTCATACATATTTTTAAAATCATAAAACAACATGAATCATAAAATTGAGAAAAAAACTTACCAAAAATTATACTTAAAAAATAAGATTGAAAGTCACTCTAAATCTTCAAAAGAACGAATTTGTAAATCGTGTTCTGTTTAGAGTAACTTTCGAAATAAAATAACGATCTATATCTCAATTAAAATAAAAACTAATGCATAAAATCACCGCCAACAAAGAATCCCTCAACACGGATGCAATCAAATTCAAATTTTAAAAAAGAATGAATAACTTACATGAATGACAAGATTAATGAAATGACGAGCTACAAGGGGATTAACTCCTCAAGTAGATCTGCAAATCGCTAGAACTGAAGAGCAAGAATTTGTTTGGGTGGAAGACAATTTTTTAAGAAATGATACAATCGAGGAGAACAAATGTGTGTTGGGGGAGGTGGAATGCGAGTGAGGAGGGGTGGGGGATAGAGAAATTTGAAAATTGATAGAACTAAAAAAGAATGAATAACTTACGTAAATGACAAGATTAATGAAATGACGAGTTGCAAAAGGATGAACCCCTCAACTAGATCCGCAAATCGCTAGAACTGAAGAGCAAGAATTAGTTTGGGTGGAAGACATATTTTTAAGAAATGATACACTCGAGGAGAACAAATGTGTGTTGGGGGAGGTGGAGGGCGAGTGAGGAGGGGTGGGGGATAGAGAAATTTGAAAATTGATAGAGCTAAGGCACAAAAAATTTCATCAACCGATACAATTGAGGTATTTTTTTTATCTGCCAAACAATTTAAATTGTGATGCATGATAAATAAATTTGCAACTAGGATGACGATGTAATAAATATCTTCCAGTAGAGGAAAAATTAGTGAAATCTTTAGATTACACTTTGATTATCATAGTCCAAGACTTCTTTTCATTCCTTGTGACATTAACTATTCCCATGCCACCCTCTAGGATATGTATTGATATCTTTGTAGAACATGTATGTTTTTTTTTTATCTATTTTTGGAATTTTGTGAGCATTATTCACATGACTGCTACCACATGAAAAATATTAAGAATTTGTTGTATTGAGTTTTTTGTATTCTTCTCTTTTCTGTAACTGAAGCTTTTTTGCCATTAATTCATAGGTCTTCATTAAAAAATTCACTCCATTTAGTTTGATCTGGTTAAAAGATGAGTTCCTTTTTTATTTCCTTTTTATCAATTGGTATAATCTGTATTTTGAAAAACTTAATTTGAACCAAATTTTCAAAGTTTCTCCATATATGTTAAGCATATGGTGCAAAACTATACATGCCTAAACACTTATAAAACTATTGTTACTCAAGTTATCTAATACCTATTTTCTTCTTCTTTTATGTCTTAAAGTTCATCAACTCATGTAGATAATGATAAAGAAAATCAATAAAATAATAAATCTCAAGCTATATTGACACTTCTTACAAAGTTTAGCAGTTAACAATAGGAGTTCGTCAGAAAATTAACATTCGGCTAACTTCCTCTTCCTTCAATACTCCACTCACAACAAACAGAGCAATATATCAGAAAAATAAATATACGAACAAAAATTCAATAAGTGTTCTAAGCACCTCACAAACAGTTGTTACCATTAAAAAAATGTATATTGTAATTTCATGAAAAATGATAAGTCGCTACTCACAGTTCTACCAACGACATGTTTCTCACAATCAGAAGACTACAACATCCGAATCTGGTAATGCATCAATAGGTACGACCAAGAACAAGTTGGGCCAGTCTTCAATTCATGTTATATGAAAAGATCTGTAAGAATATCACGATCCAAAATCAAGTTATGATGAAACCTACTACAAATCTCCCGGTAGGCAAGTCAAAATCCAAAACTCATAGAAGATAATAATTTAATAGCAAAGAATAAGCGCAAATAGAATAATAATTATATAGAATAGGGCCATATACAAATGTAAGTGTGATACATAATATACAAAATAGTCTTGAATGTGATCATGAAAGACAAACTAAACACAAGAACTAAATCCATGGACCTGATTTCACCGGTACAAAATAAAGACTATATACACAAGTCTATCTAATAAAAATATAGACAAATACAAAAGAAGAAAAAACAAAGAGCCTCTGAAAGCGAAGAGCTCACCACAATATGAATCTGCAATGACCAAGGGAGTCCAACTCTCACTTAGGGTGGCTTGTACTGAGAGCTACATCAGAAAAAAGATGCAGAAGTGTAGTATGAATACCAAATTATGGGGTACTCAAAAGGTATCATAGACAGACCGAACTCAGAAAGAGTGTATATATATATATATATATATATATATATAAAGAAGAAACACGATAGTTCTAACATCGCAATTAAAAGGTTCTAATGAGGGACAATCAACTACTGAAAATAGAGAGAATGAAACACAATTAAACAAGCAAGAAGCGGTACTCAAGTACGAGACTGGCACAACAAATATCAAGTTGATCAAAATAGTCTAGTGCAATGCAAATGATCAATGCAAAAAGGTAGAAACCCGAAAGAAACCTTGATCTTCCTAGAATGATACCTCAGACTCATCAACAAATGCAATGTAGTAAAACATAACCCGTATCTGAGTCAATGGGCCGTCCAGAATGATACCTCAAATTTATAAGTGCAAAAGTGAATCAATATGTAAAACCACAATCATAAAACCAATATCTGTCATTTTAGTTCATAAAAACTCCAAAATAATGTATATTCCCATAAAAACATAGTTCCCTTAATTAAAACAGTGATCCTCCCCTTCAGAGCTCAACAAGTGGAGAAAAATTTAGCATAAGAAAATACACACCTCCACTGGAAAGTAAAGGTACATTGACTCCCTAACTGATTGAAAAACATGTCGACCACAATATTTTCAACTAACATTTCACAAGTTCACTATCAAATTAACAAATACATAACATAAAACCTTGATATAAATCAAGTCCCAAGCTAGATCACTATATTTCATATCATTCAACACAATTTTTTTTTTACTTTCCCATAATGTGCATAACATAAACAATTGCATACACATTAATGTATGCAATTCTAGCTTGGAGTTCTTAAATTGCCAATGCAATCCTTTTGCAGAGGGGACATGAATTCTTTTGCATGAGCCATTGGCTGATGCAATCAAAGTGAAAGGTGTGGTGACAGTCGGCGCTTCCAATTATATGCCCATCAGAGTAGTCATCCTGCAAAATGGAAAAATATTTATCGAGTAAGATAATTTTACATAAATGACTACAATTTAAGAAGTATGAGGAGAGAATCAAATGAAAATAAGCCCTTACCAAACAAATAGAACATGTATCATTATCGTCACTTATAGATATTTCTGTTGACTGATACATGATGAGATTCATACATGCAAAAATGACTTCCCTGCTCAATCCTGTATTGACATTTTCAGTCTGGTCTTGAAGGGCCAACAAACCCTAAATTCAAGATCATAATTTGTGAGAAAAAATATACATACTATTTTTTGTCTGTTATTATGTCATAACACTTAAAAGTATAAGTGCATCAAACGTTAAAAATAATTACCTGTAAATATTAAAAATATTCTTATGACATGATAAGTTTAAGTTAGTAATTAAATCAAGTATTGAGCATGAGAAAACTAATTATGTGAAGATTGCAATAAATTTATAATTAAAAAGAAAAGAAAGTGAAGCCGAAAGAAAATTTACCATGGGAAAATTGGTAAGACGCAGTGGCAATGTCATACGATCAAATGCATGATTCACTTCCGCAAATCTTGGGGTGTAGTCCCATAAAATACGCGGTAATGATAATGAAAAATTGGGAATTAGTGTATTTGTTAATATTCCTTGTGGAATCGAAAAGGAAAAAGGATTTCTTGGAACAATGGAAACATAGTATATGTTTGTTCCATTAGCCAAAACAATAATTAGGCTCCCATCAGAGGAATGATAAATTCCCAAAATATTGGGTACCATACCAATAAGATGGGATTCTGGTCTTATATAGAATATTCTAGAGCGATGTGAAGCAGAAGCCATTGTTCTTATAGGACCAAAATCATAAGTGGCCTCATTTTGAAATAAGGTGTTTGTTGTACTAGTACGAAGCTGCATTTTTGTTGATTTTCTTTTCTTCTAGCTAAAAGTTTCTTGATTTAAAGTTATTGTAGTGCTTCCTTAACCTGAAATAACAATGATATAATGATGTTAATCTATATATTGCTCAATTAGGTATATATGTAATGTACATTTAACTCACCAGTATAATGAAAAAAATGTTTCAAGTGATTACTAGTGATTCTTTCCTTTCCCTTCATCAACACTTGAAGGAAAGACCCAAAAATAAGTATGCAAAACCAATAAAAAAACATACAATCTCATGCTTTTTCAAAGATTATTGAAAATAACTTAACTAAAATCCATTCAATTCTATAAAAGATGTCTTGATTCCCCAAAAGATCTATGAAAAATACAAAAGGATTTATATCCATGTAATTTATTAACAAACACGACTTGTGAAGTTTAAAAAGAGACTATCGAAAGTTGCAAGAACCATACTTTATAATTTAGAAAACATTATTTTAGGTAATACTTTCATCTACACTGAAATAACTATCAAGAGGTTAATACTAAATTAAAACATTGAACTAAACCAAACAAACTATAGCCCCTACTTCACATAGAAAATTGTAACCCTCCCCTTTTGGGAGCTCATGAATTGCGAAATAGTGACTTTCATCATATACATAATACTCAAGTCACACATATCTTTAAAACCATAAAACAATATTAATAATAAAATTGAGAAGAAAAAAAATACTAAGAATCATACTTTAAAAAATGAAGATTGAAAATAACTCTAAATCTTCAAAAGAACGAATCTGTAAATCATGTTACGTTTAGAGTAACTTTCAACATAAAATAACGACCTATATCTCAATTAAAATAAAAACTAATGCAGAAAATCACCACCAACAAAAAATCCCTCAACATGGATCCAATCAAATTCAAGTTAAAAAGAAAGAATAACTTACATGACAAGATTAATGGAATGATGAGTTGAAAGGGAGGAACTCCTCAAGTAGATCCCCAATTCGCTAGAACTGAAGAGAAATAATTGATTTGGATGGAAGACAGATTTTTATAAACGATACACTCAAGGAGAACTACTATGTGTGGTGGGGGGGAGGGGAGGGATAGGGAGGAGGGGGAGGGGGTTATAGAGAAATTTGAAAATTGATAGAACTAAGGCACAACAAATTTCATCAATCGATACAATTGAAATACTAATTTTTTTATCTGCCAAGCAATTTTAATTGAGATGCATGATAAATAAATTTGTAACTAGGATGACGATGTAATTAAATATCTTCCAATACAGGACAAAATAATGAAACCTTTAGATTGCACTTTGATTATCATAGTCTAAGACTTCTTTTCATTTCTCGTGACATTAGCTATTCCCATGCTATCCTCCAAGATATGTATTTATATCTTTCTTGAATATGTTTGTTTTTATCTATATTTGAAATTTTGTGAGCATTATTCACATGACTGCTGCTACATGAAAAATATTAAGCATTTATTGCATTGGGATTTTGTTCTTATGTCCTTTCTGTAATTGAAACTTTCCGTCATTAATTCATAGCTCTTCATTTAAAAGTCCACTAAATTTAGTTGGATCTGGTTAAAAGATGAGTTCCTTTTTTATAATCTATTTGTCAATTGCTATAATTTTTATTTTGAAAAAATGAATTTGAACAAATGCAATGTAATAGAACATAATCCGTATTTGAGTCAACGGGTCATCCAGATTGATACCTCAAATTAATCAGTGCAAAAGTGAACAAATATGTACACCACAATCATAAAATCAGTATTTGCCATTTTAAGTCATATAAACTCCAAAATAATGCATATTCACATAAAAGCTTAGTTCCCTTAATTAAAACAGTGAGTTGCCCCTTCTGTCACGACCCGAGCTTACACCCTGGACGTGGCCAACACTCGAGAACCATTGCTGGTCCCCAAGCGAACCCTCATCCTGGCTGACTACAAGCGAAAAACTGATTCAAGCATACAAAGCTTAAAAACTGAATAAAATTCATGAAACTGAAATACAAAGCTTTAACTCAAATGAAAAACACTGAATAAAATAATATATTCAACTCGCCATAAAATAGGGAACTTAAGTCTTTAAAACATTTAATAAAATAAATGAATAATACAGACTTCTCAACTATACTGACTATCTATGAAGCCTCTAACTAATAAAGATGGAAGTCGGGACAAGACCCACGACATC